GTCTTTAAGGCACTTACAGACCAACTATGACTTTATACTTCTTAAAACTCAATTGCATGTATTTCAGCCTGAATGTGACGCTATAAGCCTATTCCCTTGTTAATTTTAGATCCATCCGTATACCATACGAGTATACAAGCAAGTATAACTCTATCTCATGATTTACCTCGTTCGAGTTGCAGTGGAACAGAAAGAGTCTGTTGAAGGTTAGACAGAGTGTCAAATAACTAGATGTTGAGGTTGGAGACTGGAAGATAATGATATATTAATTATACAGTACGTTAACCAACCCATCAAGTAAAATATAGATTAGATGCTTAATTGTATTTACAGGTGAGAGGATTAAAGAGAGTAACTTGGTTTAGCTACGTTCTTTTAATGACAAGGAGAAGATGTTGCGGTTCACAGTCGGCAATCTGCGGGCAGAGGTATAGCAATTATTGTTCTATTTCTCTCTATTCAATAGAATAGTTTTTCAATACCGTTCTCCTCTTAAGTTAGTGTTATAAAGTTAACGTACGGCATACCAGGGTGGAGAAGTCATTTTTCTCAGCTGATCAACATTATTTACCTAGATACTAAGTACAGAGGCAGATAATATAAGTCTGCGGTATATATGTTATAGTGATAGTTGGAAATTTAGTAAATGCTAGCTTTCACTAATTAGTGCTAGCAATTACTTAATCCATTAGGAAATGTTATACGAACGAAATTTTAAACTTTTACTGGGAAATCTTGGAAAAGCTAATAAAAACAGCATTTACTGACAGTCGCTAGTAAAAGTAATTTCTTATTTGCATATCTTTATTTAGTTAACGTTAAAGAAAAACAAAAAATATCACACTTTTACGAAATCCGATCTGATTTAAGTTTATCAAAAAATCTAGCCTCCGTTTGATTTAAAAAATATTAAATAAATAAATACAAATAACTAGATATTAGATATAAATAATACCACAATAAATAATGACAACCTAAATAAATTTAACAACATTACATTATAAATGCAAGGGTTATCCAGCTTTTACTAAAACAGCTCAGTCAATATTAATAGTTACTAGCAAAAATGTTGACCTTTTACTGCAGGGATTACCAAAGTAGTCAATACCGAACCCCTTGGGGTTGAAATCGGTTTCCTAGGGGTCGACATAAATGAAAACTGATTTTGAAGGTGGACGAAGTCTAAAAATCGACCCCTATTAATTAACACAAGTTCTTATTTGAAATTTTCAAGATACTATATAAGTGGTGTTTCGTGTACCAACTTGTTATAAGAATGACTAATATTTTAGTAGGAAGTATCATTGTTGTACTTTTAAAATACTCAACAAGCCAATAAGCGTTCACAAGTTCGTATAAGATAAAAAAACTCAGCAAGTCAATAAGCTCGGACAAGTTCGTGCAAGATGAGTTCGGGGGTAAACGTCTTTCAGCACGTTTTGACTTGCTCTTTATTTAACGCATAAACGCGATTTAATACAAACGAAATCATGATCCAGTTCAAGTTCAAACATGCTCCTGATATTTAACTATATAACAAGCTTGCACTTAGGTTGAAAGTTCATTTGTGTTTTGAAATTCGTTGGAGCTTGAATGATAATACACTCATTTACTAATTTATTTCAAGAGATTACATAGTTAAATAAAGTGAATTAAAATAAAGTGATTGAAAAAGAATTTACAAAGTGCTTAGTTACCTACGCGCGTTATTATGGTAACCATACATTACTGCAGTTTATGAAAAAGTAACAGAGTAAGTGCCAAAAAACCTTTTAATATTTTTTGAAATTACTTTAGAAAAGATGTTACCTAAAATTATAAATGTTCAGTTTTCTTTTTGTTTTCGTTGATTGGTACCTAATACAAATTTTCTATATTACAGTGACTATATCCAAGCTTATCAATGAGTAAGTTCGTGAGCATACCTAACAAACACCCAGTGTCTAGATATTATAAAAATAAGCTCGTGTCAAAATTTAACAATTTTATTGTTGTTTTTTTAAGTAGTTTCTTAAACATATTTTTTTTTATTTGAAGGATTACTGCGAGTTTGTGATGGCAAACACGACAAAAATGCAGACAATACAGTTTGAACTACTTGAAGTTTAGATTTTGTCCATCTCTATCAAATCAACACTTGCCGATGTGTTTCATATGTAAAAAAGTATACAGTAACAATGCTATGAAGCCTTCAAGGACCACTTATCAAGAGCACATGCTGACAAAAAAGTAAGCCAATGTCATTCTTTTAAACACTTAAAGAATAACTAGAGAAAAGGCCATCCATGAGATCGATGTTTACATCATCATGTATGCAAGATGTTGATGGTTTATGAGCGTCCTATAATATATATTTACTAATAGCGAAGTCGGGGAAACCCCACACAACTGGAGAGCAGCTTATTTTACCAGCCATTGCGGAGGTTCTTAACAATCCCGCACATGATATTATAAAGAAAATTCCTTTGAGCAATAACACTGTTCAGAGACGAAGAGACGAGATGGGTCCAGACGTAGAAAAAATTGTATGCAATTTCTTACGGACCAAGAGATTCTCTCTCCAATTGGATGAGTCTACATTACCCGGCAATGAAGCTCTGTTGTTAGAATATGTTCGATATATTGCAGATGAAAATACGTGCCAAGAACTGCTTTTTGTTACATATTTAGAGATTGATACCAGAGGAGAATCGTTTTTTTTTTAAATAGTAGTTAAAGTCCTGTAAGTTGTTACAAATGAGTCTTTAGGCTTGTTGGTTGTTATATTTGGTGACGACGCGTAGTCCTTCCTTAACTGTTTGTTACACTTGGTGGCCAAAACGTCATGTTTTGGGAAAATGTCCAAACCCAAGAAACCTAAACAAAAGGAAGGTTTAGTTCGGAGAGTATATAACAAAGAAAGAAATTACTCTTTCAAACACATTATTGATAAAAACCAACTGTCGGAAACAGGTGTCTACAGTTTGCCTTTCGGCTTTTTTATTTTGTATTTGCAGGATCTGCCCACTATTTCTTTTTTTTAGTTAGATACTCCCCCACTTTATTCCTTTTAATACATATATCTTCACGTAAATCACACAAGTATCTGGATATCCGCATTTTTCTAAATTACTCTTCCTACAGTGAGTAGAGTTCCAACTCTAACTCACATGCATCGAAAGGACTTAAATCTCTTAACTGATCCCCATATGCTGCAAAACATGGGGATCCGTCCGCAACTGATCTACTGGATTGACCAAACCGTGGTAAAACTCCGTCATCTGGAGGAATAAGAAGACGGCCAGAGCAAAGCTGGCTGGAATCTAGCAGCTTGCGTGCCTCGCCATCACTGGGGTAATCTCAACCGTAACTAGTTGAGTCATGGAGACCATGCTGGATCTAACCCCTTTCCAAATTTTGCTGGAAAGGGAGGCCAAGATGGTTTCCTATAGACTCCCTCAAGATGGGTAGTCAATGCAATGAAGAACTACGATGGGACATGACAAAGCTGATGAGTGAGATAAAAGAGACGTATGGAGTAAGGGGATAATCTTAGGCGGACTATGCGCTGTACACGGATGGCTCCAAAACTGAAAAAATGTAGGAGCGGGAGTTTTCGGCCAGAAGCCAAGAGTTAACATATCAATAAACCTGGGCTCTCTGGCCACGATCCTTCAGGCAGAAATTATTACTATAGAATGGAAGCGGAAGATTTGATTAATTTTCTCCCCGCTAATAAGATTATAGAGATCTTTTCGGATAGCAAGGCGCCCCCTCAAGGCTAGTTTGGAACTGTATAAATACCTTTGAGTGTCTCAATACTCGTAAGAAAGTTACTTTGATCTGGGTTCCGGGATACAGTGGTGTGGAGGGCAATGAAAAAGCTGACTCGTTCGGTGAAAGAGGAATCAAATTTGAGATTATAGGATCAGAACCATTCCTGGGCATTGAAAAGAGCACTGCCGAAGGAATTATCTTAAAATAGACGGAGGGTGCAACACTAACGAACCTTGAGAGATACCCTAGGGTGAATTCACTCGAAGGCGTTTATAATCAACCCTTTCATGAACGCCTGTTCTCAGATCTGGGAGTAATCACACATGAGGAGGATAGATATGCAAAAAATATCGGACTGTCGATTGTGCAGTCTGGAAGAAAAATCTGCAGAGCACATTCTATGTACCTGCTCCACTTTGGAAAGAACTAGGTTCTGGATCTTCGGATTCGGCCCACTGGAGCCTACCGACTTTAAACAGGTGTCTCCCAATTCAAACATGATCTTCATCAAAAGGGGTGGCTTGTACGGTGAATTATAAGTTAGACATGAGCCACAATAGATCCATTTTGGTCGCAATGGAAGGCGATATCCTAACCTAACCTGTCTCTCAATCTACAGGGTGTTCATTAAGAATGTTGCCAAACCTTAAGGTGCTATACTTTACTTAATTTTAAAATAAAAAGTTCAAATAAACATAGGCCCCAAACGGCTTTATTTAAAGTACAAGGCGTTTTTTACAAGACTCCACTCACAGACAAATATTAAATATACATATTTGAATTAAAATATTTTTAATGACTGTTCTCATTCGACACTTTGCGCTTTTAATACATAAAAAGCATTTGTGGTAATTATACCCTAGTTACTTATGAATAGATATTTTCGAAAACATGTCTAAATTTTCTTTACTTGAGTCTTTTGTAAATATCTAAAAAGAATATAAATATTGTATTGAAACGGTTCAAAAACATAACTCCAAAAATAATTATCTCACATTTCCCTTTTCTATCCATTTTCAATCCCCCATTCCTCATTAATATTTTCGTAAACAATCCGAATGACGCATATTTCCTGCTTTTTTTCTTCCCGTGTTCCTATCCCCCTAACAAAAACCGTCCGTTCATGATCTAGTAGTCGCGGTGTCTACATGCTGAAATGAATGGACTGGCAAATCGATAAAATCCTGGAAAATACTCGAATCTAGGTGGCGCTTGCTTTTCATCTGTTTTCCAGTCTGCTTAGACCACGCCATACACGTAGTTCGTGCCGGAGAAGACCAAAGTCGTCTCGTCTGTATTGTAAGTAGTCTTTTGTTTTTAGAACAATTGCGAAGTCGTTTAATTAGAAAATTGGCACTGTTGTTAGAAATGATGCATGATTTTTTAGTGTCTTCGATGTTTTGTACACGAAAATAATATTCGGTTGTCTTTAAGTATGTTTTTCTTTGACATATCATAATTTTTGGTAGTGAATTAAATAATTTTAGATTTAAACAGCGGTTTAAGTTAAAAACTATTAAATAGTTCTTTAATTAGTATGTAATCATAAAAAGTTGGTTTAAAAAAAGTTTAAAATATATTTGGTTCTACTTATTTTATTTAATTCCGGGATAAATTAAGTAAAAATGTTTAAAAGTGTAACAAGTTATATATTAGTTGTTAATGTGTTCTGTTTTTACTTTAACTTTTGGGTTAAGTATATCTTAGTCAAAGTATTTATCAGTGACTGAAGCAAATTCAGATATCAAGTTGACTCACTATAAATATTCAATTTTAATACATCTACTCTAAAATAAATTTGATTTATAGAGGTTTAAGCGTTGAAGTTATATTTGACAACCATATAATGCTGATTTATTCGTTTATTAAGTGATCTAGAACCACTTTTATTTTCGTTTTATTTAGCAGTAAATTAGTTTAGACACAGTGCGAACGTGAAGTGTTACCCATCTACTAACTTCTTTACGGTAAAATATTTGAGAAAATGCTCGGACATATCGATATATATTTCTGATGAAGCACATTTTCACTATAAAAAAGTTACACTAATTTTAACCCCTTGGGCAGGGTAGCTATCCCTTTGAAAATTGTAAATACAACAATGGGCGACTGATAAATCATTTGGAAGCGTTCTTAGTTCTCTATTCAACGGTTTATATAATTTGAATTTTGATTTATTAGTTTTTGATTTAATTAAACTTTAGACGTGAAATAAACTAAACGAAAAACAACACGACACTGGTTTATTAATTGGCTTACATCATTGTAAACTGATACTTAAGTTATCAAATCCTCGTAATGGTCTTCATTGACTCTTTAACAGAAAAAAGTATATTCTTAGTTACTTCCCTTAGTTTGTTTTTTATCGTAGACAACAGGTCATACAGATTATTTTACATATAATATTTATAGGCATTTGGCCGTTTATTACCGAGATACAGGATATTACTGAGGCCCTTCCTATGGTGCCTCAGTATTGCATTCGTGCAGACGAAAAAACTTTCTTACCTCCATTTTTAAAACTTTTTTTCATGTTTCCGATCATTCTGAGTCCGAAAATGCAAAAAAAATTTCATCTGGTCGTCTATATGTATGTATGCCGGCACGATAACTCTAGAACGAAAGTTCTGATTGACTTGCGGTTTTGATTTTCTTGAATAATTACTTCTAACTTAAAACCCTATTGATTTTCAGAATTTTCGGTTCATCCTAACTAATTTATAATCAATTTTCTTAAAATCCGCATATGCATTTCTTATGTTACAATTTTAGGATTTTCAACTATTTCTAAGTCAACATTCCTAACATTCCTAAAATTCCATAAATTGCAAACATTCTCTAACAACCTGTCAAACAACAGCTGTTGATAGTAAAGGTGAAATTTCTAAGGCGGGTTGCGACCTTCATACTTGCAATCATAGCCATTTTGGAGGCTATTTTTATTCGAAATTAGTAGCCAAGTCTACCAATTTATGAAAAATATATAAGCAATTTCTTAAAAATGAATTTTTTATGGTGGTGCTAACTTAAGCGTACTACTATTTCGCCCCTAGCCACAAAAACACCTTCATCAAATTTATTGGCTCTCTGTCGCAACCCCATAGAATAATTAACCGGCCATTTTATTTGGCAAAAATCAGAATAATGCTTGGCTGTGCCTGTCAAATATCAAGATGTCAACTGTGATGTGTGAATGGCTCTTAAATGTCAAATTATTTAAAAATGTATACTTCTTTTGATATTTATTGCAAATAATTTGTAGTATATCTCAATTCAGGCTTTCCATAAAGGTACAGCAAGATAGATAATATAATGTTCTTATACAAAGGTAGGATATAATGCTAGTTTTTTTGTAGAACATTTTTATTATACGATTTTGGATTACATATTCAACCAGCGAATTGTAAATAATAATTAGTAAACTTCTAGTCATAAATTTTCTCAATAAATTAAATTTAAAAATCTTCTTACCTTGGTACCGAGGTATTTTGGTGTGTTTTTATTTTAATTATAAAGTTGTCATTTATTTGTATGTTGAAAGAAGGCCTTTGTAAATTACATTGCTCTCTTTGATCTACTTTAACACAAAAATAGTTTTGTGGCTATAAGTTGCTATAACCTATCGTCGCAAAACTATTAATAATTTAAACATAGTAAGTAGTATTATTATAACATCAAGTAATTTTTTAAAATAAAGTAAATGATCTCAAAATAGAAATAATTTATAATAAATGCGGGTAAAACGAGGGGTAAAATAACAATAAATTAAGGGAAATACTTAAAAAGGGCAGGTTTAAAGAGTATTATCACAAGAAAGTATATCCGTTCTGTTTATTTATCAAGTATTGTTTGAGGTTACTTTTGAATACATTTATTGTTTTTTTTTTTGTTAATTTCTGTAGGCAGTCTATTAAATTTTTTAAACCTTTAATAAAAAATGTATTTTGGGAACTTGTAGTGATGGCTTGCCATACATGAAAGTCAGATTGGCTTCTATTATTTTAGTTGTGATATTTCGAATTATATTCAATTTTTTCTGATAGATCTGATGCGATGGTACTATGTCATTTTTATTTTATAAATAAATATCAGTCATGTACTGAACATAAATCTGAACTGAAAGCCAATTTATTTCTTTTAACATAGTTGCAATATTCATCCTTCTGTTCTTTATTAATATTATAAAAACAGGCGAAGTAAGGAGCCCAAATATTTTACATGAGCAGGCTTAAGAGGTAAAGGGGCCAATTATTATTGGATAAAATGATCAAACAAGTTTGTAAACCCTAATCAAAAGGCGATATAGAATGGTTTTAAAAATCAAGGCTTATGGAAATCATCACATGGTTTAAATTAATGCCAATGCTTCGCAAACCAAAAAATTCAACGTCCTAATACTACTATCGGCTTTCGGTCTTTCGTTCCAAGTTAAATCATTTCTCGTTTTTGTTACGCTACGAGTTTAGCCTTGTGGGCCTTACTCTCTATAAGGTGGGAACCACTATTTTAGCGTCTCTCGAATTTTATAAAATGTGTCTATTATTTTCTTATTCATAACTTGGAAAAACGAGGAGGTATATTTGATAAATTTGTTATCTATATCTTGTCGAATATATCTACGTATGAAAAGCTGAAAAATCCAGATCCGGCTTGGTTAAAAAGTCACAAATTCTTCCAACCTGAAAACAACACGCTGGATATTTAATTTTTTTAATTCATTTCTATATTTGAAAAGTGTACAAAAACTAAATTCATCTATGTTATTTTTATTTTTGGGCATTATTGGAATAGGAGAAGTTTTTATTAATTTTATAATGTTAAATTAAGATTACTTTTTAAAAACTACGTATTTAATTGGTTGTAGTTTATATTTATACTACAACACAATGTCCGTATTTCAGACTAAATATAACAATAATTTCGAAGATCCTGTAAAAAAAATTTGACTTTTTTAATTTTTGGTATTTCCACAAAACACTAATTACAACAAACACTAATAATTAAAGCAACGTCAACATAGAACTTCATCAATTGCTCAAAATGACCACCATTTTGATGGATACACTCTATTACTCTTTTTAATAACTGATTTATACATATTCTAGTGACATTATGGTTATTTATTAGTTCTTTAATTCTCTGAAGGAGGTCTTCAAGTATCCTTCGTAGTAATCAACAGGATTCAAATCGGGAGATCTTCGAAATCACACACATCCACATATTTTTTATTCGAAAATTATCGTATATGTTAATTATCATAGATTATTTTTTCATCTGTCAAATTAGTCAAATTTTGTGATTTCAGTCAATAAGAGCTCGCAATAGCAATACTAACCAATCATTGAGGATTATACTGATTAAACCGCTCTTAGTTTTTGTTTTTTGATAAAACTATGTTTACCTTTTGAACTGACAACTATACATAATTTAAAAACTTTTATTAAACTAAAATGTATCTCAAATCTATGAAAGGGCGGCTCCAAGACGAATTTTCGGGGGCCTTTAGTCATTCCCTTTTTAGCATTTTTTAACACGCTTATATTAGCTTCATCTGTATGTATGTTTGTAACTCTCCTTTGGACTCAAGTGGCTTATTACTGTCAGTATATCCCACTAAGTCAAGTTCGTTCATGGCCGAGCGATCTAACACGCGGGTTTTCGATTGTCAGACTCACCGATCGTGGGTTCTAATCCCCACGGCTGAAAAAAAAATAATTTTTTTTTCCAGCAATTTTTTTTTAATAATTAATCAAAGTAAAAAATAAATATAGTTTTAAAAAACAAAAAAACACGCATTTACTTATTTTTCAAATAAGCTTAAAACAATAATAAATGGAAAATACCAGTATTATTGTGAAAAAAGCGTGTGGCGCTTTGTCCATATTTCTCGTACATCGAGCACCCGACGCTGGATACGCTCCCACTGCTTCAAGCGAACATGGACTCCATCTCACCAAAATGTATCTTTCATAAGCCATATAAAGTTATAATAGAACAAATAGAAGAGCCAGAAGTGGCAGGTACAATTCATATCTACACCGACGGTTCTAAAACAAAACAAGGCTCAGGATGTGGAATATACTCCAGATTCTTAAACCTAAACATAAAATGGGCTGTGAGCAGTAGTGCCAGTATAGTTCAAACAGAGATAACGGATATTCTCATAGCAGCAAAAGAAATAACCAGAAACAATATCACTGGAAGGAACATACTCATCTATACAGATAGCAGACAAGCACTGCTCACCCTGAACAGACCACGAATTTACTCAGAGTTAGTACTAGAATGTCACGAAGCTT